CCGTGTTTTGGAGAGTCGTTTGGAAAGCGCGTGAATGCAGTAGCCAACATCAGCTCTCGGGCGAGATATAGCGACAGCTGCAAAAATCTCTGCGAAAATACGAAAAAAAAATGTAAGTAAATAAATGAATCGCTAGGACTATTTCAAGCAAAAACATCCAATTAATCAGTAATTCGACTAAGATCACATTTTTAGCTTTTTTCCCTTATTGAAGATTACAGTAAAAAATGCCATTGTCGTGCGAATGCGACAGAGAAAAAAAACGAAACGTACGATCTAGAAAGAAAAACAAAGGGATCTCAACAAGAAACCTTTTTGTTTTCCCCCCTGGAAATCCATTTCATTCATAACATATAACAAAATGAATCTCGAAACCAAACAATCAGCCTAAATCTTTAGAGTGGAGAAAAAAATAAAAAAGATAATTAAAACGACTCACTTCTAACATGACGTTCCTTAGGGGGCCGTTCGACATGATTCGTGGCCTTCACAATGGCAATATCCAAATCCTACACACAAAAAATAACGAGTAAATACGAACGAATAATCCATCGATCGAACACCATGCATGCACGAAAATCGAAACAACAAACAGACCTTGAACTCGCTATTGACCTTTGCTAGGCCAACTTTTGTGGAGTCCTTGAGAGCTCCATAGGCCTTTCTAAAGCTTTCCATTTCAAAGGTGAAAAGATTATTAATTTAATGCAGCCAATATGTGTGATGATGATGATGATGATGAGATCATCATGCAAAACATTTGATGTTAAAATTAATAATGTCCAAAAAAGATCAAATCTTTGATGATCAACACATAAACAGAGAGAAAGAGAGAGATCTAAGAGAGAAAGAGGGTGTATTATGAATACTTTCTCTCTCTCTCTCTTGTTCTTTTTAATGTAACAGAAAATATGTACAATGGAATGACTGTTTATTTTCCTATTTTCTCTCTCTTTCTGTGCTTTCTCTCTCAATTTTTTTTTTATTCCAGTAATATTTTTTTTTTTCATTTTATTAATTAATACATTACTTGATGTGTAGTAGTATTAATTTAATCATAGGTTATAATATTAATAATTTTTCATTTTATTTATACTAAACACCTTCGTTTGGTAAGAAGAGAATATATTAAAGGGAAATGCTACGGTCCCGTTACGATACCATCTCGTCGGGTGTTTTAACCGTTGGATCATCTGTCTTATCTAACTACACGTGGATCCAACGGTTAAAACACCCGACGAGATGATACCGTAACGGGACCGTAGAATTTTTCCTAACTATAAAATACTTTATTTTTTGGGGTAAATTAATGATAAGTATGGATCACTTTATTACCAAAGAATATATTAGTTTCTAAAATAGCACGTCTCCATTTATACTCTGCAAATGTTTGTGAAAACAGAGCATATATTTGATATTTGAAATAGTATTTGCAACTTCTAAAGATAACATTCCTTTATATAATTTCAAAGACTAAAACTTTTATCCAACATATTCATAAAAAAAAAAATTATTTATTTAATTGTTTACACTAATCAATTTATATTAACAAATTAATAGTTTTTTTTTTCTTTTCCTCTTCACATTTCAGTTAAGACATTATCAAAACTACTCACAAACTTCACATAATACTGATTTCCATACACAAAAAAATTGGCATTGGCATAGCAAAAGCCACATTGGCCTTGTTTGGCGATCAGCAGATAGCGGATTTTTTTTTTTTTTTTTCACTAAAAGGTAATAACATATGATACATGAAATCAAAGATCTCTGAACATAATGCCCAAAATTACTGCCAAAAGTTTTTGAAGCTTACAGGCCACGGCAAAAAACGATCAGCAAAACACGACTCGAAAATAAACGAACCGCACGAGCCAGCAGAGCTCTATACAGATTTATACACATCAAAAGAATCTCCACAGTTTTTGCTTTTCCTCACGAGCTTTATAGGTCGCGTGAGCCGTTACTCTTTGAATTGCCTTGTTTTTATTTACGCTTTCTTGCAGCTAAACGAGGTCTCCACTGCACAGAGTATGTAATAAGCATTTGCATTTTTCCAATTTAGTAACAACACAAGCAAAAGAATTATAGATGACCCTGTAAAATTAGCAAAAAAAATATTTAAAAAAATTGTTTATGAAGTTTTCGCCTATTCACAATAAATGTTTTGTCACAATTCAAAATATTTCCAAATACTCTCTCAAGAGTGATACATCATACAAGTAATAAGCTAAAGGTAGAAACTTTGACAGAAAAAAAAAAA